TGTGTGTGTATAAACCCAAAATGTTGGGGTGTTTTAATACAATGTTGGATCAAATGTGGAAAACCCATCTGATGGGTTAAAAAATACTGAAAATATTAAGTTAACGCTGAATTCGTCCATAATTTATCCAATGTTGAGTTAAAAAACCCAGTCGAACATTATATTATATGCATACAACTATTGCAAGTCATGCAGTTATCATGGGTAATGTACACTCTAAAATGCTGGGTTGTTTAAACCTAAAATTGGATCAAATATGGAAAATCCGACTGTTGGGTTAATAATAATTATTGAAACAATGAAGCTAACATTGAGTTTCTCCATTAATCCAATGTTCAGTTAAAACCCCAGAGTAACTGTGTCAAACATTCCATACAACTATTGCAAGTCATGCAGTAATCATGGGTAACGTACACCCAAAATTCTGGGTTGTTTTAATCCAATGTTGGATCAAATATAGAAAACCCAACTGTTGGGTTAAAAATGTAATTTAAATTGAATTTAAAAAATTAGTTAACGTTGGCTTTCTCCATAATTGATCCAATGCTGGGTTGTATCTAACACTACATTAAGTTCAATGCAAAATATGCTTACTAATATTGCATGCAGTAGTCATGGGTAATGTACAGTCTAAAAATGCTGGGTTGTTTTAACCCAATGTTGGATCAAATATGGAAAACCCAACTGTTGGGTTAAAATGTTTTTTAATAAATGAAGCGAACGTTGAGTTTCTCCATAATTGATCCAATGGGTTAAAACCCCAGAGTAACTGTATCAAACATTCCATACAACTATTGCAAGTCATGCAGTAGTCATGGGTAATGTACACTCTAAAAAATGCTGGGTTGTTTTAACCTAACGTTGAATCAAATATGGAAAACCCAAATGTTGGGTTAAAAAAATGTAATTTAAATTTATTTGAAACAAGTTATGTTGAATTTCTTCAAAACTGATCCAATGTTGGGTTAAAAACAAATGTTGGGTTTAAAATATTTCCAGATTTCTAACCTCTTATTTTTATAAAAGTACTTTGAAACAGTTTACTCCCCTTTAATAGTCTCTTTATGTTTATAAAACCACTTTTGTACATTTATTTTGATCCAGACACCCAGATGTCTCATCGTTGACCCATAAGCACAAATGAGTCCAAAAAAGAAACACTTCCCTCTAAGCAGTGCTGCTGATCAACCGTAAGCTCACTGCTGTCATAAAATGGATAGTTGTAAAATCCAGTTGGATGAGTTGCATTCAGTGAGTAGACTACACTGTTGAGGACCTTTGTGAAGCCATCCTCATCCCAGAGAGATGTATGCATTATACATCCAGACACACATGTGCCTCTCTTTTGTCTTTTCCTCACACAAATCTAATTTCCTGTAATTAGCAATCATGAGTGAAATAATTGCCAGACGATATAATAAACAGCGCTCTGCCAGGAGTCTGCAGTTTCAATCAGTCGCTCCCTCTGGGCAGAGCGGCCAATAATCAAAGCCACATGCTGGAGAAACACACACACACATACACATACACAGCGTGGCTATGAGTCCACTGAGTTGTGCATCTACAGCTTTAGACAAATAGCAGAACAGATTGATCATGCTGGGTGGTACAAATAATAAAATCATGAATAATAATACAGGTTTTAAAGTATGTTAGAAAGAAAATAATGCCAGATTGTTCTTTATT